TATATATATATATATATGGAACATGGGTTGGAGTAAAGCAGCATTATATTAGAGTCAGTGTTTATGCGAGGAAGGAAGTGAAAAGGGGCACAGTGGATGAGAAAGGAAAAGCAAACAAGAGGGCCATGTGTAGACAAATGACATTTATGTGTCCGTCACAAATTCAGGATTATGGTCAGCATAGTTTAATGTACCAGAGGTGCCTAAAAAGAAAGAAGAATGGAATGGCCATATTACCAAAGCAACATATAGATTCAACACAATTCCCATTAAAATATCAACATCACTCTTCACAAAATCAGAAGAAATAATCTAAAACTTATGTGGAAACAGAAAACACCCAGAATAGCCAAAGCAGTCCTGAGCAAAAAGAGCAAAGCAGGAAGCATCACAATTCTAGATGTCAAGTTAAAAGTATACTAGGAAGCTGTCATAACAGAAACAGCATGGTACCAGCGTTCAAATAGACATGGAGACCAATGGAACAGAAGACACAGAAACAACCCCATACACCTTCAACCATCTGATTTTTGACAAAGGGGCCAAAAACATTCTGGAGAAAAGACAGCCTCTTTAACAAATGGTGCTGGCAAAACTAGGTATCCATGGGCAGAAGAATGAAACTAGACCTGTATTTCTCACCCTACACTAAAATCAAATCAAAATGGATAAAAGGCCTAGATATAAAAACAGAAACATTGAAACTACTGAGAGATAATACAGGGGAAATACTTGAGGCCATAGGCGAGAACTCACTGAACATAATTCCAACAGCACAAGAAATAATATCAAGAATCAGCAAGTGGGATTATATTAAATTTAAAACCTACAGAATAAGGGAAACACTCAACAGAGTGAAGAGACAACCTACAGGATGGGGAAAATTTTGCCAGCTACCTTTCTGATAGAGGATTATTATCCAGAATATATAAAGAACCAAAAAAATTAGCCCCCAGAAACCGAATGACCCAATCCAAAAATGGGAAAATAAACTGAATAGACATTTCTCAAAAGAAGAAGTACAAATGGCCAATAAGTACATGAAAAAAAGTTCACCATCTTTGTGCATCAGGGAAATGCAAATCAAAACAACTCTGACCTGAGTGAGCCTGGTGGCGCATGCCTGTTATCTTGTCACTTGGGAAGCTGAGGATAACCACAAGTTTGAGGCTAGCCTGGGCTATGTAGTGAGTTCAAGACCAGCCTGGACTATGCAGCAAGATTCTGTCTCAAAAAAATTTTTTTTCTTAATTTAATAATAAAAAACCCCAACTGAGATTCTATTTTAACCCAGGCAGAATGGTTATCATCAAGGGTTCAAAAACAACAAATGCTGGTGAGGATGCTGGGGGAGAGAAACCTTCTACATTGTTGGTGGGAACGTAAATTAGTACAACCTCAATGACAATCAGTATGGAGATTCCTCAAGAAACTGAAACTAGAAATTCCATTTGATCCAGCTATACCTCTCCTGGGTATATTCCCAAGAAGAGTTAGGACATTATACTATAATGATACACACATACCTCCCTATTTATGGCAACACAATTCACAATAGCTAAACTATGGAAACAGCCTGCATACCCATCAACATAAAGGAATAAAGAAAATGTCAT